CTTAGAATTGCAAATAGCTGTACGCCTTCGTAATAGGTTTTGGTTCAGGACTAGGGTTAGGGTTAGGGTTAAGGTTAGGGTTAATGTTTTTTTAATCGTTTTCACCAGCTTTAGTTCAGTGCTAGGCTTAGAATTGCCATTGGCTGCACGCCTTGATATTAGATTTTGGTTTAGGGTTAGGGTTACGGTTACGGTTAGGGTTACGGTTAGGGTTAATGTTTTTTATCGTTTTTTAATCGTTTTCACCAGCATTAGTTCAAGGCCCGGCTTAGAATTGCAAATACCTGTACACCTTGGTAATAGGGTTTGGTTCAGGCCTTCAGGGCTAGGGTTAGGGTTAGGGTTAATGTTAGGGTTAAGGGTTTTTTAATCGTTTTCACCAGCATTAGTTCAGTGCTAGGCTTAGAATTGCCATTAGCTGCACGCCTTGGTATTAGATTTTGATTTAGGATTAGGATTAGGGTTGGGGTTAGGGTAAGACTTAGGGTTAGGGTTAGGGTTTATGTTTTTATCGTTTTTTAATAGTTTTCACCTGCATTAGTTCAGGGCCAGGCTAACAATTGCAGTTAGCTGTACGCCTTGGTATTAGGTTTAGGTACAGGGCTAGGGCTAGGGTTAGGGTTAATGGTTTTTTTTAATCGTTTTCACCACTATTAGTTCAGGGCTAGGCTTAGAAATGCCATTAGCTGCACGCCTTGGCATTGGGTGTTGGTTTAGGGTTAGGGTTCGGATTACAGGTAGGGTTAGAGTTAGGGTTAACGGGTTTTTCTCGTTTGCACCAGAATTAGGTTTGCGTGAGGCTTAGAATTGCAATTGCCTGTACGCCTTTGTATTAGGTTTTGGTTTAGAGCTAGGGTTAGGGTTAGGGTTAGTGTTAGGGTTACGGTTAGGGTTAATGTTTTTTCATCGTTCTTTTAATCGTTTTCACCAGCATTAGTTCAATGCCAGGCTTAGAATTGCAAATAGCTGTACGCCTTGGTAATAGGTTTTGATTCAGGACTAGGGTTAGGATTAGGGTTAGGATTAAGGTTAGGGTTAATGTTTTTTAAAGCGTTTTCACCAGCATTAGTTCAGTGCTAGGCTCAGAATTGCCATTAGCTGCAGGCCTTGGTACTAGATTTTGGTTTAGGATTAGGGTTAGGGTAGGGTTAGGGTTAGGGTTAATGTTTTTTATCGTTTTTTAATCGTTTTCACCAGCATTAGTTCAGGGCTAGGCTTAGAATTGCCATTAGCTGCACGCCTTGGTATTATTTTGGTATTACATGTAGATTTTGGTTTAGGGCCCTTGCCTTTTAGCGTTGCGTGATTTGGAAATGATGGCTTGCAACACCGTCAGAAGTGTATTTGGTTCCTGCAATACTCTGTTCTTCGCTACATTGTTATTCTGAAGAAACTCCTGTTTGGATTTGCGAAAGAAAACAACCATCATCATAAAATCATTACGAGCTAGCTCGTAGCTAGTGCCCAAGGAGATTTTGAAACCAGGAAAGTGGACATAATTTACCGTAGCAAAGCGCTCTTCCCGCTACGGTGTGAGATGCACTTTCGTACAGAAGGGGTGACAGTGCATTGGGTCAGTGTGGACAGGCCAGCAGATCTTTTCAAAATGGGGTGGGCGTTTGCAACGGACTTTACGGTACCGGTATACCGGTAACTAACTTGCATATCGATCGCTAAGAGCGCAATCGATAATCGTTAGTATTCGAAACGAGTACTGATGATTTTTTATGCATGCATATCAGTGACAGTATTCTAGCCCTTGCACTCCATCCGATAGTGAATACGAGTGCAATCATGTAATTTCGAGTGCAGTAAAATTTGATTTGTGGCTTTGAAAGAGATCGGGATAGAAGGCTTTGTCTTTTCGGTTCATTTGTGGGAGAAGTCAGAGATGAGAGCAGTTGCCAGAGGGTGATGACAAGATTCTTCGCTCTAGAAACAACATGAAATTCTCTAGTTCATGTTGATACAAACCAGTCAGATGTCTACAGATGTCAACAGTGCGGTGCCACAAATTTAACGTAGAAAAGGCATTATGGAATTTCTTCATTAGCTGGTGTTCGAGGTACACGAGTAGAGCCGACAAGAATCGATAAAACCAATATATCGATCGCTAATGATATTGGTTGATCGTTAGGAGTTATTGAATGATCGTTTCAGCCCTAACGCTTTTGTATCCGGTTTTGGTTTAAGGTTAGGTTTAGGGCTAAGGTTACCGTTACGGTTAGAGTTAGGGTAAGGATTCCTGTGTCCTTGTACCATGTTGGCGGCAGGACTTCTTCCATAATCATCACTAAACTAAACTAGATTGAGAATGTGTAGAAGCTTGTGGGGCATGGCTATCTACTCTCTCAACCAAACAATAACAATGAGTAAATCTGGATCAGTACTAGTTTAAGTTATATACCCACAAAGCAAAGTGTGAATGACAACATCATGGCGCAAATCTAAAAGGTGCGAATGACAGCAGTGCAACGCGTAAATGAGTGCATCATGGCGCATCTAAAAGGTGCAAATGACAGCGGTGGTGAAAGGTATCACTTCAAGTGACAAGCACTGGAGCTGGCGGTCTCCTACTTGATTAGATGATGGCTGTGGATGGTTTGAAGTTCCCAAGGTAGTACTTATTCTCGTGGCGACACTTTGACACAAGTTCACTCCTCTTGTTGAGAGAGAGTTGCTTGGGTGCTTGCGCGATTGCTAATTTTTCTGCCAGGCACAGGTTGCACCTTTTGCTTTTGTTATTCCAGTATACTCCTTCTTCTCCGTACCTGTGGTGACTCTTGCCTTATACACAATGCTCTCCGTTAGACACGCTCTGTCCAGTGGACGTAATTCTTTCTTCCGACAGTTACAAGTCCTGGTGTCGTCGTCACCTCCGTTGGCTTGTTTCTTGGGTCGCAGAAACGTGCTATTGTGTTGTTTGATGATGGTGGCCATATTCTGGCTACAACTGTAGCTAACTTTTACCGAGTTACGGTTGAAGATTTTGTTGATGCTTGAGCCTTTAGGGAAGTGTTTGGCCTAGCTGGAGGAAGCGATGTCCGATGTCGGGGGCGACGTTCTTGCTAAATGGTGAATTGAACCATAAATTATGATGTTCCGGTGGCGATTCCTTTTCTTCTTCTTTATTGTCTAGTCCGTTTTACGCTCGTCGAAGTACTGTACGTTCTGCCAGTATCTCTCTCTCTCTCTCTCTCTCTCTCTCTCTCTCTCTCTCTCTCTCTCTCTCTCTCTCTCTCTCTCTCTCTCTCTCTCTCTCTCTCTCTCTCTCTCTCTCGGTGCGTCACTGTAGATCGGATTCGCATCTCTGAAGATGTCTTCATCGTATTTTGGAAATATCTGTGAGTCTTCTGGCGATCGATGCAGGCAGCAGGTTCTGGATGATTGTAGGTGGATGATTGTAGGTGGCTGATTTCACTGGTAGTTGGCATACATCGGCTTGTCGTTAGGTTTCCGGTGAGGGCAGTACTTTCCGGTGGTCAGGTCCAACGTCACGTCCAGAAAGTCGACTCTTCAGGTTTGTCTGTATCGTTATTTTCAGTCCGAGGTTCAGGAATATTTTGGTCATCTCCTTTCTTATTCGGTCAGCTTCATGTCCCGACGCATTCCTGAACACAGCCAGACCGTAGTCACGATACAATCCGACGGCTCTGCCGTTGAACACGTCCGCTATCATGGTCGGGGCAAAGGCTCCAACAAGCTCACACACCTCAGTCCCATCATAGCACCCCATTGTCACGTCAAAGTGCTCGTTATGTCTTTTCACCCAGTGCGTCTCCATGCCAAACAGCAGTGATCGCCTGGCGTGGAATATAAGGTCACACTCCTCCTGGGAGATGTCCGAGTAGCGGCGGGCGAATTCAATGGATCTCTGGAGGAGGTCTCCGGAGATTCAGTGGTAGAAATCTACAATGTCAAAGCACACGAATATGCACTTTTCTTTTTCTGGTACTTCAAGTATACTTGTGAACCACTCTATCACCGCTCCCGTGTTCCTCCGTGCACTAATCTGCACCTGAGGGCGGAGCTGTTTTAGAGAGGTATCGAGTATGGACTTGGAGACTACGCCGATTTCACTCTTTGAGGGACTAATGAGCCGGCATGGCAGGGACCGGGAAAAGCTGTCCTTATGATCCTTCAGCGAAATTATGCGTCTTTCTTCGCCATTGCGTCCATTCTGTCGTCCAGCTCCAGCGTTGTGGCAATTATCTCAGCTTCCGAGTTGATCTGGTCGTAAGTCTCTGCCGGTGTAAGTTTGTAATGCTTGGTGATGTTGTTGCTCAGCAGTTTGGTATACTGCTCTTTGTTGACTGCGTAGAGGTTTCTGGTCTTGTCAGCTGGCACGATGATGTCCGGTGATGCTCTGATTTTCTGGATGTCGCTTCAGAGCTGTTGCTGAAAGGGATCAGTGACTCTACGGAACTCAATCGTCTCAATCATGTTTAACGAATCATCCTCGAACGCCTTCTGAACCTCTCTATTTTACTCTGTCAACCACGTTGTTGTCAAGTTGGTACTCAACAGTATTGAATAGTGACCAACCGTTATTGGAAAGAGTGACAACATCAGCAGGATCATGATTAGAACCATCTGCTGCCTTGACCAAACGCGCACGAAACTCAAGCAATGCTTTATGTGGAAGAAAGTACTCATCAACTTTTAAAGGTCGAAAACGTTCTTGGTCACCTTGAGTACGTAGAGTAGTTATTTACGGACTTGTACCGTGTGTACCCTTGGTCCTAGTTACAGTGGTCCAGTTGGACAGGTGGTGCATGGTGGTGACCTTGGTCCTAGCTACAGTGGTCCAGTTGGACAGGTGGTGCATGGTGGTGACCCTGGTCCTAGCTACAGTGGTCCAGTTGGACAGGTGGTGCATGGTGGTGACCTTGGTCCTAGATACAGTGGTCCAGTTGGTGCATGGTGGTGACCTTGGCAGGTTTTACTGTATCGTATGCGCTCGGGTGAGTGACACAGGAACATTTACCACACATCCGCAGTTACTCAGACGAGCAGGCTAAGTACAAGACAACAGAGCAGAATCGGAGGACTCTGGTTGACTGATGCAAGTTGCAAACAAGCTTGCAGCGGTGTGCGTTGCAATCAAGAATAATGATCTGACGGAGGGGGGGGGGGGGGGGGGGGGATACTCTGATTGCGTATACATGTACATCTGTAGTAGACCCTGTTCGTCTGGCCAAAACAAAGTGGCACAACGCACAGTTGCAAATTAGTCCAACGCATGCAGTGCTTGAAATGCAGCTCGCACACATGTATGCAAACACGAGGCAAAGCAGGTATAAAGCTGGGTATTTGCCACCTGTATGCATACCCACTCAACAAGGTGCACAAAACAGATCGAGTACGACATGGTCAATGTGTGGGGCATATGACTTGACATGTTCAATATGTCTACACTCGACCTTCCAGCAGTGCGTGTGCAGCCATTCAAGATGGCCAGTTACCTGGAGTACAACATCAGCTGCCCAGGTCTTGCAGGCGGTTAGTGAGCTTGACTGACCAGCAGCATCGTCAGAGACTGGGCCATGGCAAAGTGAACAGCCGGAACCCAGACCAGTGTGCACGGCCATTTGACAATGCAGTGTTTTGCAGTCGGGACACACACGGCATACACAGTGTCCAGAAGCGGCTAGTGGCATGCTGCTGGTGCTGGACGCAATGCCGGCAATGGCTGCACCATGACTGCTATTACTGCTGCAAATTGGAGTGTTACTGGCACTATCACTATTGCCCTGCTGGTGTTTTGTCCAGCTAAAGCTCACACGAGATGGCTCAGTGGGGGAGCCACAGGGCAACAAGTCATTTTCCGGAGGTTCAGAAGGATTCTCTTGATGAGATGGCTCAGTGGGGGAGCCACAGGGCAACAAGTCATTTTCCGGAGGTTCAGAAGGATTCTCTGCGGCGTTGTTCTCAGTGCAACAGTCAAGTCCATTTGCACCCGAGGCCACAACTATCCTGTCATTCTCCTGCTTGCTACCAACACTAGCAACACTGGCGTGGCCAGTTAGTTTAGAGAGAAGAGACGACGAGACAACATTGCCATGAATGTGCAACCATCCGCCAGATGCTGGTTTTAGCGCCTTGCACGCGGTCAGCCATGCACGTCCACTACATGGTATTAGGCCAAGCAGCACTCGATCTGCAATTCCAACAGGACATACCTGTACATGACACAGGAAAGCAAACAAACCGACAACACACAAGCATGCTTACTACTATCCAGCAATCAACCAGAATATCAAGTGACTAAAGTCAAACAAACTGATAATCAATACAACAGATGATGTGTTCATTCATACACAGTCCGACTCATTTCAGACCATCTTTCTGCATCTTTAGTGATGTACTGCTCTACGTTACGGGAACGCTACGCGAAGAATCCCGGGAACACTCTTCATGTTCCCGGAACGTAAAGGAAACCTGTTCTGCTCTACGTTCACATGGAATGGTTACTGGGAATTTCCCATTCCAAATTCGGCAGTTTTCTGCCTGATTTGAAAGATACACAGCAGATCCGTACGCATTTTCTCTGCGTGTGCCGTAATGTAGAGAATCTCATCTCGACGTGGAAACCTGGACCCAAAACACGCGAAGCCGAAGACTCTAACCCAGACAATTGTTCTCTACATGATTTCTTTATAGAGCGCCTTCACTACTTCAAGTATTTTCAGATTGGCCTCATTTTCCCTGTGCTACGCTGATGAGTCTACAAAGGACGGAACAGTTCTGCCCGCCGATTGAGCCATTTTCAGACTATAGTGATTGCATCCTTCTGGCAAATTTCACGATGATGGTCAATCATGACCCATTTCCATTACGGAGACGACCAAATATAGGCTGGAAATGACACCCCTGTTGATTGAAAAAATACATCAAGACTCGTAGTGTTGAAACGATCTCACCGGGTACTCGCTAGCTTGCTCGCCAGAAACTCGGCTCGTTTGTGCGGCCAGCTCGTTTGCACTAACGAACACCGTACTCCGTACACATGGCAGTACATATACAGTCAACTTCGCCAATAACGACTACGGATATAACGACAATTCGCAAATAACGACAGAATTTCCATGCCCAGAGCAAAGTCCCATCCCACTGTAATACATAAAATGAGACTTCGGGTATAACGACACTTCGCGAATAAGGACACCTTTTTGATGCCCCGCCGAGTGTCGTTATAAGCGAAGTTGACTGTACGTACAGTCATGTCGACCGGGGAGTCGTAGAATATTAATTTTTACGACCCCCTGATCGAGAGTCCAGTCCCACGCAAAGTGAAAATCACTCGCAGTTACAGTGACTGTATACCTGCACGACATGTCAACACTGAGCTTTTTTCAGTTGTCGTTGCAGCTTTGGTGGACTCCACTAATGTCTTGTTCCGCATCTGCTGACCTGTTGCAGTACAATGCTTCTGTCAACTCTCTGAAAGTTACGCTCAATCGTTTGGATGTTTTCTCCCGCGATGCAGCGAAGAACAGGGCTACTTGCGATCTGTGAAAACAGTCTATTCTTTCAAAGGCTGCTCAACGACGGCGCTGAAAAGACATCTCGACACCAAACAGCAGTCCGAAGTGAAGCAACAGCAACCCCAAATGCCGGCTGAAAAAAATAGAACTTAAGAAAAAAATATTTAAAAAAATCATATTTGCCACATCAATGAAACTCGTTAGCTCGCTCAATAGCTTGCTCGTTAGTGGAACTGATCGTTCGTTTGTTATAGATACGCTCGTTTCAACACTAAAAGAGCCAGTGCTTCATGGGCACTTGTCATTGACTACAGTCAACTTCGCAAATAACGACTGCGGATATAACGACAATTCGCGAATAACGACAGCATTTCCATGCCCAGAGCAAAGTCCCTTCCAACTGTAATACATAATATGAGGCATGGGCAGCAAAAACCAGGGTTAGGTGATATTTGGCAAAAATGAGTTTTTGATGGCTTTGAACTGTCCACTAAATGAGTGATCTATGGGCCAAATTTTGGAGCTCTGGGCACCTTCCAAGATGGTAAAAAGAACGCCCGAAATGATGGGTGACGGTCAACAAAAATGGTCAGCAAAAAGGCAAAATGGAACGCAGTTACAGCGAGCTCTAATGGAGTGACTGAGAACAATTTAGCATATTTATAGGTCTTCAGGGAAGCACAGCGTACTCTAGTTGATATTATAGTAACATTGTTGCCTGCACTTGCTGCAATGTTACTTGAAAACTCAATCCCTGTCATGTGCAGGTCTGGTGTTGTATGCAGACTTGTCAGACAGAAAGAAGCCAAGCAACTGACGTTTTACATGGCTGGGAAGAATCTGCAACTTAGGACAAGACTAGATATGCATGCTGCGCCAAGCCAGATACATCCACCAAGCATGTCTTGCTCTCCTACGCACAGCAGCTCGTAGATACATGTAGAATACTGTGACAAATTTCATGCGCACCGCAAGCGTGCATGTATACTTGCAACAATTTTATTCACAAAATATCTTGTATCAAGTAAGGTTTAGTTCATTCAGGGCTGTCTCCGTATCTCACCAACTTATCCAGCTGCGAATAGTCGCCACGGAGTACTGAATCTCGTTCGTCACTCTCAGCGCTGCTGTCCGCGTCGCCACTTCGTGTCACGGAGCTCTCAAACTCGTCGTCTGCGCTGCCTCCGCTGATGGCTTGTCATCTGAGCGGAACCTCTTCACTTTCACCTGATTCTTCTTGCGGGGGACTATCACAGGCAGCGGAGTATCTCTGGAGATCCAGCTGCCAAATATTCTAGTCGCTCGTGCTCCATCAAGAATTCGTGACGGGATCGTTCCGCCAAGAAATTATTTGTTCCGCTCTCTTTTCAGCGCATGATTTGCAGACGCTACCCAGAGCGCAAACGCCTCCATGGTGGCTGAAAGCGCCTACCTGGACGTCCCAAGTGCTTGGCGGATAAACTACAACTGCAATGACAACAAATTATAGCGAAGCCACCAAGAGGAAAGCACTTTCAAAGCGATATTGCAAGAAGTCTTTCCGCTTTGATCGCGGTGACTAAAAAACGACATCGGTTCGGTTTTTCGCAAATATTGGCATTTTGAAAAATCGCCAGGACCCCGGTTCTTGCTGCCGATGCCTCATATAATGAGACTTCGGGTATAACGACACTTCGCGAATAAGGACATTTCTTGACGCCCCGCCGAATGTCGTTATAAGCGAAGTTGACTGTACATATTATCGTCGCCGAAAAAAAGCCGGCAAATGCTATACATGGGGTAGTCACATGCACTACCACTGCACATACCTATCATGCAGTAGTCAGTGTAGTGCTGCTGCATGCAGAAACAGTGGTAAAGGCATGCATGCTACCACGTGGCACCGCCGTGTCCGCATACCATACCACTGTATCGGCATTGGCCGGATTTTTTGGCGACATTTGTACTACACTCAGACCTGGTTTATCAGGCGGTCTGGGACCGGGTACTGGCCGTTACTCAGGGTGGTCTGGGACCGGGTACTGCCCGTAACTCAGGGTGGTCTGGGACTGGGTACTACGAGGTGAATAGCAATTTCTGGACATGAAAATAAAATAGAGGCCCACTGGCTGTGTGTTTTATATTTTTCATATCTTTTTGTATCTATTGTACGGCCTAATCCTTCATCTTTCCAAATATGTGACACTTGCTCATGCTGTGATCCCAGAGATTTTATAGCAGGATGTTTTCGACAGGCCAATTTTTTGGCCTAAATTTCAGTGTATGGAATTCTGGACATGAAAGTAAAATAGCGTCAATAGGCATCCTATACGGCACCATTTTTGTTATTTTTTCTATTGGTGGACTGCAGTTGGCCTCTTCACACTTCCAGCCAACAGGTCCAAGACTATACAGCGTCTGAGGTGGAGTGCACATGGGGATGCCAACGATTCGTCCATTACTTCTTATTTTACTCAAAATTCAAAATTCTCATGCGACATAGTACCACAAAACTCGTTGAAATGCCTCCCAAGAAAAGACTATCAACAAGGCACCGACACGAGGAGAAGCTACAACAGCCCAGCTGTCAACTACAACAAGAAAAAACTTCATCAACCTGACTGACTTGACTCTACATGCGACGAAAAATTATTTTACTCGAAATGTCCAGAAATGTACAATGTCCAGAAATAGCAATTCACCTCGTACCCGTAACTCAAGGCAGTCTGGGACAAGGTACTGCCCGTTACTCAGGGTGGTCTGGGACCGGGTACTGCCCGTTACTCAGGGAGGTCTGGGACCGGGTACTACCCGTGACTCAGGGCGGTCTGGGACAGGGTACTGCCCGTTACTCAGGGAGGTCTGGGACCGGGTACTGCCCGTTACTCAGGGAGGTCTGGGACCGGGTACTGCCCGTTACTCAGGGCGGTCTGGGACCGGGTACTGCCCGTTACTCAGGGCAGTCTGGGACCGGGTACTGCCCGTTACTCAGGGCGGTCTGGGACCGGGTACTGCCCGTTACTCAGGGCGGTCTGGGACCGGGTACTGCCCGTTACTCAGGGCGGTCTGGGACCGGGTACTGCCCGTTACTCAGGGAGGTCTGGGACCGGGTACTACCCGTAACTCAGGGCGGTCTGGGACAGGGTACTGCCGGTAACTCAGAGCGGTCTGGGACCGGGTACTGCCCGTTACTCAGGGAGGTATGGGACCGGGTACTGCCCGTTACTCAGGGAGGTCTGGGACCGGGTACTGCCCGTTACTCAGGGCAGTCTGGGACCGGGTACTGCCCGTTACTCAGGGCGGTCTGGGACCGGGTACTGCCCGTTACTCAGGGCGGTCTGGGACCGAGTACTGCCCGTTACTCAGGGCGGTCTGGGACCGGGTACTGCCCGTTACTCAGGCGGCCTGGGACCGGGTACTGGCCGTTACTTCGAAATATCCGTAACTTCAAATCACATACATGTTGGACGTTGGCGGATGTTCATGCATGTCGATGACGATACTGGCAAGACCAATGGACAATACGGTCAAACCACGATTCAAGGACGCAAAGCAACATTCCACACAACTTCGCATCTTTTGAGCCACACAAGTTGTGCGGAATGTTGCTTTGCGCCCTTGAATCGTGGTTTGACCGTATTGTCCAATGGTCTTGCCAGTATCGTCATGGACATGCGTGCACATACATGTTATGCAGAAAGGCCATAGATATGGCA